AGCCTGTGAATGAAAAACAGACAAAGTGTCGTCCTCAAGGTTTTCCTCCCACTATGGACCATTGGAGCAGTTTGCACTTTGCATATTCGGCTTTGGTGGAGTCACCGAAGATATCAAAGCTCAGAGTTGCAGGACCAGAATGACGACTGGGTTGTCATAGATTAATTTTGGCATCTTCGAATGTTATTCATTAGAGTGTATGTCACATCACCAACAATCGCTGACTGTACAAGCAAGTTAACTTGCGTGGCGGAAAGTTATGCAAGTGTACTGTAAATGCATGTTTCATCATGTTTTCATCAACATTCCTATATACCTCAGGTCTTTAGCAACACAGCACCATTAAACCATCAATCTAAATTAGTCTGCACAGTAATCACAAATCATGTTAAGTGCATGATGGTCATTGTAATATGCAGTGTGCACACCCCTCCACTGGTATGCAGTAGAACATGGATGGATGGAGTCCATGGAGTCATTTCTCCAGTTATGCTTTTAAAATATCTGATTCATAAAAGGCACCAAAACGCATTCCTCATCACCATTACCCATCTTTCATCTTCATTCCGGGGTCTACTGTCGGCCCCGGTCACTATAGACCTGAGGTATGCATTTATGTACCCTTACTGTTTGGTAACAAGTGTACCATTAAGTTTGGCTCTTTCATACAGGCGTAACAGCACAGTAAGCTTCAGTGAAAGGGGAAGTTATTTTGCTAGATATTTAAGTCTCAGTTGAAGATTCATGCACATTAAATAAAAAAAAATAAAAAAAACACCTTTCTCTCCTTCTTCCTCTCCCTTTCTGTAAGGTGACCTTTAACAAAGCACCTTTCACCCTTCAGATCTATATCACTAAAGGTAAATATGAAAAATGGATATGCACCTCTGAAGTTTCTTTCATTCCTTTAGGCTGTTTGGATACAGGAATGCTGCATTTTCTTTTGGGTCCTAAATAAAACAACCCTGTCCTGCACAGAAAAATCAATAGGGAATGTCATAGCTTTGACCCACTGGTCAGGCCTATTTCATGGAAAAAGCCACGAAGCATGGGAAGGAAGAGGAAGATCAGGGGATGAAGAGAAATGTGCCGCCAGAGGTAAGTGAAAAGCCATTAGGAATACCTGGTAGAGGAGTTGGAAAGAAAATAAATGAGGTATCTGTGTTGCTATGTTTGGGGGGGGATTGTGGGTGGGATACAACTGAGAAGCTGTGTCCATTTACTCTCCACTGTTGACTTGCATTACTCAACCCTGTGGCAGAAGTTGGCCATGACAGATAGTGTAGGAATTTGCAGGCTAGTGGCATACAGAACACAGTACCTGCAGCGTGAAAACACACTGTTGGCTGGAATTACAAATGATTTAACATCGCTGAGGAGCTCTGCAGCCTTACAGATGTTGAATGGCAACGATTCTGAAACATATGATCATCAGTAGACCGTCGCTTGTTTGCAATCAATTAGATCAGTGCTTCTCAAACTTTCTACACCGCGTACCATCTCCAAGTACTGCCATTACGACCGCTGTTACAATACAATAGAGTAGGACGACCTGATTAAGCTACAGACACAGGAGGCAGGCAAGAACCAGAGCCAAATATGGTGGGAAAGGGGTTCTCCTGGTCCACAAGTTCTCGTTTGGAGCCACAATTTCTATGTTTTTGCACCATTCATTTTACCTCCGCTTACTATCTTGCATCACATTTTAGCTCGGAGCTAATCATGCATGTGTGTGCACTCTGAAGGCTGAAATTGAAGCAGTATATTACGGGAAATGCAAAACTTACATTTCATGACAGTGTTTTTCTTTTCGATTAATTTGTTTCATATATATTTCAGGGGGACATAAAGGGGACAAAGGAATGAGGACCGCAGGGACCAGTTCTACCTGTTTCAGATGCTCCTGCTGTGATTTGTGAGCATTACTCACAAGCAGAATATGAGTAACTCAAATAGCAGCAGTGGCATGTTTCACAAATATCATGCAAATATTTCCTACAAGCCTCTCACATTCTCTTGCATAAGTCACAATTATGGCTCTTGTCTCACTCAGTTTATATGTTGTATGTATGTGCTGGCGCATTGCCCTTATCCAACAGGAGTAGTTAAAGCTCATTCTTGGTCCCTTAGGTGAAGCAAACGCAAGAAATCCTGTCATATTATCAGCTATAAAAATGTTTATATAGTGAATGTTTTAGCAAACAGTTGGTCATAACAGATAACGTAAGTCCAATATGTTTAAATGATCTCTTTTTTGGTCTCCACCAACTCCTCACAGAAACATCTGACTGTAACTAAATGCTCCGCTGTGTTTAGCATGAGTAAGTAATTATGTCTGCTGTTTTGTGCTGGGCAGGTAGTGTACAGCTGGTTTAGTGGAGATTTTTCTTGCAGTGCTGTGAGACTAATCCCAAAAAAGTAAAGCTGTGGGCTGTGACAGACGCTAAAATGCTCTGTAGAACTGAGGGAAACTGCAGGTTAGGGTTATGATTCTCTTTGGATTCATCAAAACGAGCGTCCTTTTTCCCCCATTACACACTGTCATTTCACCCATTAATATAAAAATATTGATCATAGCAGCTTTAAAACTATCGATTAAGATGATGTCAAAGGCCTCTTTGTCACTAAAGACATTTGGACATTTGACTTGTAAGCTCAGGTGTAAATAATAAACGATACTTGCACATAGCTGGCTCTGGTTCAGGGTCCTGGTCTTGTGTCTTACTGCGGCACTTAAATACAACAGAGGTATCATTAATGTTATGAGTAACACCTGCTAAAAATGGCGGCCTAGGACATCCAATGAGCAATCCGCTGGCACACCTGCTATTCATTAGCTTAGTTTCCAAACAACTCCACCTGCTGCAGCCGATGGTTTCAAAATAAAACCAAAAGACTGAAACAACCAATGCCTCTGTCTTTTGTGTGTGTGTGTGGAAAAAAAAATAGGAGGGTAAAACATACACTAATAATGGTACATTACAAATCAGCATAGACAGCTTAAATGAATAAACTGTTCAAATATTTAGATTTTCTCCAAAATTAATACAAGGCTCCTAATATGATTTAAAAATGTAAAAAATATATAATCACACATTTGGGATTTTGCTATCATTACTCTGAAATCAGCATAGCGATCATTAATATTCAGGAAACATTGCATATTTCACTGTGCGCGCTGGGTGTGTAAAATATTTAAAAAGCCTCATGGACTTCTGCACCACGGGAGAAAAAAACAGCAAATGTTTTCCTGTTTTTCAACAGGGCAAGATCGATGTCTCTGAAGAATAACTTGAAAAAGAAAATGTATTTTCTCAGTTTTCTGGTCCAAGACCACAGATTAAAGTTGTGGCCTGGCACGTTGCTATGGCGACCACTCCGGAGCATTCAGCCTCTTCCTCATCCCGGTCCGTGAAATGTGAGTTTGAACTTCCTGAGAGCTTCTCATCCCCCCCACCCCCTGAGGACTTTGATTCATACCAGAATGTATTCGCTGGGGAAGCAGACTTGCCATTGTTTGTTGCTATTTTATTATTCATCTCCCTTTTTCATGTTTCACTGCTCAATACTTATTCACAGTCCAGCTCTCCTCTGCTTCAAACTTCACTGGACGACTAATTCAGAGGCGGATATTTATGCCAGAATTTTAAACTTATTAAAATCTCACGTGCTCTCACACACATAAACGAAAAGACATAAATCCTGTTTTCCCAATGTTTATTTTATGTTAAATAACACATAATAAGACATTTGGCATGAAAAATACTGTACGTTAGCCAGTAACCATGAAACCATGAAAAACAAGACCGCGTCATAATAATCATATCCTACCAGAGATACAGCGAAAGCAAAAACATCACAAACATCAATAACCTCACATTTACAACCTCTCACAGACAGTGTGGTCCTGTTCCAACTAACAGACATTTACACGTTTTATAGTATCACAATGTAGCACAAGCAGGCACTAGATGTGGCAAAAAAAAAAAAAAAAAGACTTCAGCAGACCTGGAGACTGCTTTGGTAAACATTTATCGCATGTAGACGCACAGACACACACAGTTTCACCATCAGCTTCCAATGCTAATAAGAGCTAAATATATGATTTCATCACCTTGTCTCTGCGCCTGCTCTTCACCTCAGCATTTCTCACTTTGTTTACTTGCTGGGAGTTTTTTCCTCGAAGCTGAGACTCTAACTTGACATCCATGTTAACACTCAAAGTGCTCCCTCAGAAGGTGCTAAGAAGCGTCTTTAAAAGACTAACTGCTGTCTCCTCTTCCCTCAACCTTTGAGCAGGACAAGGGGCAGAGAAAGAAACATTTTCCCTTTTCCACAAGGACATACTCTGTAAGGCTGAGGAAGAAAGAAAAAAGGGACAGCGGGTCCTTTGACAGCTTGCAATGACGATGTTTCTTATTAACGCTCAGGTGCAGAACCTGTAGGCCAAAACAAAATATTTAATTATGTGCCTGAGGTGAAACAACAAAATACAAATCCAACAGAGGCACATTTCACCAGCAGCCAACTAGACGTTATAAATAATAAACTAATTTACTTATGAGTGCTTTGTCAGTTTGCTGCTGTATGAGCAAACTTTTAATTGTAGCATTTTTTTTTAAAAGGAAGGATTTTCTGAGCTCAAGGTGAGCGGAGTGTGTAATCCTACAATTAAAGTGAAAACATGAAAATCCTGCAAATTAGAGGGTTAACAAAGAGCAAAATCATAATGAGCAGCTTAAAGAGCACATAATCTGCCAGCACTGTTGCCGCTTGCAGAAACTAATAAATGAGCAGGAACGGTTTGATTCGTAGCTTCGAAAAAGTGACACAAATGTTCTTTTAAAGGGGAGCACAATTGAGTCACCGCAAACAAGAGGTTACTATTTCACCGCCAGAAAAGTGACATTTATGAAAGATGACACTGCAGTTTATATTTTGTGCCGTCACTTCTTTTGTGTCCCGAGTCGATCGAAATGAGGTTTGCTGTTTTTTTTTTTCCTTCCTGTGTGTGCCGCCTGAAGCACCTAATGGGCTTCTTCTTGGGGGAGGTAGAGATAAGAGAGAAACCGACTGTGTGCATGGTCCTATGCCTTCGTCTCAATTGTTTTCAGTTTCAATTTGCATCAGGCATTGTTCTGGGGACAGGGTAAGAATTTGATTTCTCACCCCTGGAGGGGCATTTTCACCTCGTTTTTAAGGAGTCTGTAAACTTACTGTGTTATGGTAAAAATCTATTCTTTCAGAAGACATTCAGAGTTACTGAGGAGAGTCTTGCAGTGGTAGAAGTGCTTTTTATTTTTTCTTACCTTAAAATAATTAAAAGGAGGGTGCCAATTAGAGGCAGGTCTCCTTTACAAGCCTACATGTTTTGTCAATATGGACACATCGTTCGCTGACTTAGATTCTCCACATTTGAATCGTTCAGTTCATTTTATGGAAATTGTGAACACCCAAGTATCAGATGCTCAATTCATAATTGATATGTTATTCCATAGAAATAATATTCATACTGGTTTAAATAAAACAATCTGATATGATCTGATGAGCAAGAGTTGTGTGCAAAAGGAATTAAAGGCCTGTCCCATGTGGAGGAAGGTTGAGTTCAGTGGGTGAAGCAAATAAAAACTTGGGCTATTAATTGAAGTTTTAAGGTATTTGCTTACTTGCAAAGAGAGAGAAGAATAGCTATACGACTCTCGTGTCTGTACGTGTCTCTATGAAGCAACAGTTTGACAGGAAACAAGGGAAAAGGCTGGGTGGACTTTTTTTTAAACTTTGGACAGAGCTAAGCTAAGCTAAGCTAACTGCATACTGGCTGTAACTTTATATGTAGCATTTAGACATGACATCTAACTTTTGCCAAATAATTTTTTACCTTATAAGTTATTATATGAGCGAGGTTACTCAGAAGTTTTTGTACTGTTCCTTCATAATGCACATGGCCAGAGACTGAGATTTATTTTGTTATTAGGTAATACATCTACAGGCTATGAAATAAGAAACAACTGTGATTAAGAGGATTTTCTTCTTTATTCTTGCTCAGCCATGCTAATTGAACAAACTTAACAGTTTGCATTTTATTAAACTATCCCCCAATTTCATAATGTTAAAAAAAAAACTTTTGAATACAAATTTAATGGAAGGTGAAAGGTGCACAGACAGTGAAATAAATCCTGACTGAATCCACAAGGCTCTCCGTTGCACCAAGTGCTGGCAAAGATATGGAAATCACTCATTGTCTCCTGCCTTAATTACAAAAGCACACACAGAGTGGAGGCCGCCAGACAAAGTGTTTACTGGCGAGGCTCTGCTGGGATTTTTGTGTGCCAATTGTCTTACTGCGAGCCGAACTCCCTTCCACCCTTGCCACTGCCTGTACACTGCTCTCGGACAGTGCTTGTGTCTGCAAATCTCAGCTGTCACCCACACGCCATTGTCATTCATGTATTCATACGCCTCTGCAATGAAAAATTATTTTTTTTAAAGGAAGATGGTGGGCGGGTGATGGGGCTGCAGGGACAGGGAGTGCAAGGCAATGGGAGGACATGAAAAAGAGGACCGAACTTGAAAGTGATAGGAAATGACAGCGCTAAGCTGTCAACGTACACCGTATGTAGGACAAAAGTATTACATCACACTGCTTAACACCAATCCAGATATTTTTGTGCTGCAGAGGCAAACTATATCTTAACGGTGGTGTTAAATTATTTACTGCAACACTATCATGCGCATATTTTGGCATAAGGGAGTGAATTTATGAATGAAATCCTGAATCATTTCCATGAGAATTTTAAATTTTTTAATTAACATATCCTGTCATTATAATAATATCTATCATTGGACAAAGTCTGCCTTAACGCTGTAGACGAATATATGTATGATTCAGTAGGAAATTTGGGTATTTTTAGCTAACTTTGCACTTGCCATCTTCTCTTCAGAGTTACAGGAAACGTGGCTAAACAATGTATAACAGGGCAAAAGCCTGCATAAATCATCAGTCCAAACCAAAGTTAACACATAAAATATCCCTCTGGATTAGGTACTATCGCTAACTGCATCTTTACACACTGGTTTGTTTACATGCAAGGTCTGAATGTGTTCCCGAGGGGAGCTTATATCCAGAATTTAAATAAACTAGTTTTGTCTTTCAATACTATTACTGCTTTTTTTTTTTTTTCTATTACTAATGTTACTTTGTCCTTTTCTTGATTCCCCTTATCATAGCACCGTTTGAGCTCCATTCTTTAAAGGGAAAATGATATTTCAATCAAGTTTGTCGTTGTTATTATTATTATTATTAGAGAATTGAAGAGCTAAGATGTGGTGCATTAGTGGAGCCATTTGTCGTACGTTTCACAAAGGCAAAGCCATGAGATCTGCTCTGCAGGAGAGGGTCCCTGAGAAACACCTCGTTAGTCTAAGCCTGGAAACGGGGTCTTTGTACTTAGGTAATGCTCAGAGTAATTGGCAGCACTGAAGCGGAAGGCAGAGAGAGTACATAAAAGACACCACTGAGATAATTGAGCAGAAAAGGTGAGTTTGACTAAAGCACTTTTCTGTGCCATTTGTAGCAGGGGCAGACTGGAGCAACAGGCAGGTACCTTCAGCCTTTCATGGACGGACATTTTCTGCTAATTCACATCCGGATGTTAATGTCTGCATCAGTATTCAATATACATTTGTAGCAGTGGCGACAGGGGGATTTAAGTTCTGACTAAGCCTGTTTGATAACAGTTTGTTATACTGCAGAGTGGATCAACACGAGAAAATAGCCTGATTCTGAAACCAGGCTTTTTTATTTATGCGTGGCATGACGTTAAATTAAATTTACGGTCTTCAGATGTTTATCTTCGAGATGTTTATGTAAACCTGCACCTGCCCTCATCGGCCTGAATCACAAAGCGGTGCCGCAAAAGGTTCAAAAACAACCTGTTATTACTAGGAGGCCAGTAAATGCAGCCAAATGAATTCAATAAGAGCAAAACACTAAGCAAGAAAAAGCTGCACTAACTCCCTTTGATATATTTTGGTTGTAAGCAGGATTTTTTCTTGGTGCTCAAATATTTGAGGAATTTGGGACTGAACGATGTCCAAGTCGTTCAGAAGAATAATTCTGATAACAGAGAGAGAGAGAGATAGCCTGAATGAATGAAACAACATTAAACATGAAAGGAGCAGAAATCCATACTGATTCATTACTGAGTTAATGAGTCCTCGTCGTTCAACAGTATGTCTCTGTCAAAAAATTTACCTTTGGCACAGTAAGAACATGAAAACAATATTTACAGGTACAGAAGATTAATATTTTCTGGAGTTTTTCACTTAAATGTCCGTCTGAGCCAGTGAACAAACTACCATGACAAACGAAGCCACACAAAGAGCACAGGCACTTGATGTTCTCTCCAGGATGCAACAAAGCGGATGCTGCCAATTAAACAGAAGAAAAAGAACGTCACCAAACTGAAACGCCCCCCGACTCACATTCTGCAACCATGCACGCAGAATTTGATGGAGACCTTTTAAAAAGACTTCATAAACTAGGGCAGGGATATTACTCAGCGCGTGACTCACAGCATATTAAGATGAAAAACAGAAGATTGAAAAAAAAAAAACTGATGTGCACACAGTAACCGCTGCCCGTTAGCCACTGAGGCGACCACCCAGCGCTCCTCGAGGCTCAGCAGGTGCCTGTGGTGCTGACGGTGGTGTAGCTGAACTTGGACATGGAGGTCGCCATCGACGTGGCCATGGAGGTGGCGGTGATGCCGTCTTCTCCTGCCTCCCTCCTCCTGCACCAGCAGCACAGGCGGCAGAGCCGGTTGCGCCAGCAGCAGGCGAAGGTGGACAGCAGGGCCTTGCGGAAGCGCGTGTTCATGAAGCAGTAAATGATGGGGTTGACGCAGGCCGAGGAGTAGGACAGCAGGTGGATGAAGGAGATGGGTGCTCCTGAGAGGGTTCTGGTGGCCGAATTCAGGTCAAAGGCCTTCCAGGTGTTGACTGTGTACAGGGGCATCCAGCAGATGAAGAAGAGCGCCACGATCACCATCAGCATGCGGATGACTCGCCTCTTGGCCTGCAGCTTGGCCTCCGAGGCGTTGCTGCGGGGGCGCTCGCTTTTGACCTGGGTGGCGCTGGACGAGGCAGAGAGGGTGGGGAGCTCCACGGCGGAGGAGGGTTTTTTAGACACCTGGATGTAGCAACCATCGTCGTCATCGCTCGAGCCTGCGACAGCCCTTCGAACGCCGTTCTTCTGGCCTGTGGAAGGTCAGAAAAGTTTACAGCTGGAGAGGTTTGGCAGAATTCAGCATAATGTACATGCCAAAGATTAAAGGACCAGTGTGTAGGATTTAGCGGCCTCCAGCACCGCTCGTGTCTGTATTTGACGAATAATTAACAACAATAATAATAATAATAATAATAATAATAATAATAATAATAACAAAAGAACAAGCTGTGAGGTGTGTAGGATAAACTACAGTGAAACTCTCAAAAACACATAAGTGAAACAGTTGCTGTAATCATTTCTCTTGTTCATACTCGCCATTAAAATACCCCTTCCTAATACACTTCTGATGAAAATGATCTGATATGAGACAGTTTGAGTTAGACAAATTGAGTGGATATCTTCCAAACTTTGTCTTTTTAGTACAAAATGTCAGTTAACAACACACAGTTTTTGTAATAAAAAAGACTTACATTTGTCAAACTAAGGCTTTTGAAGCCTCAAACCTTCAAATAAACCGAACAAGTACAGTGGATTTTGTCCCCAATCACTTTCACTGAAAGCACATTATGAAAGGGGGGTCTTTCAATAGCAAGTGTGAAGGAGGAATTCAATTACAGCACGCACCTGGAAGTTCACCATTTTGCTGCATCACAAAGGAATAAAATGCTATGCTTATAGATTAACAAGGCTATTTCAGATCCCCTCAACCTTGATGAATCACACACAAGACTGGACTCCATGGAAACTGGTGCTCCTGATGCACACAGTTACAGCAGCAGTTACAATTCAGCTGAAGGGACCATATTTCAGATCTTTTTCACTTTTCTATGGGAAATGTGAACATAACTGAGAGGTGGTATATTTTTGGATGTAACAGGTGCAGAACCTGTGGTTAGCAACAAAATATGTCATTATCCGCTTGAGGTTAAACACCTCTCTTCGCAGTTATGTTGCATTATTTGTTTGCCTGCATCGCCTGAAAATGGGGGTTTGTGCCTCTTAGTGCCTATATTTAATTTAAAAATAACCTGCGTCATTATGGGCAGTTGTCATGTTTGACCAGACTTTAATTATTTAATAAATCCTGCTGTCTCTCTTTAATGTAAGTTACTGCAGCCTCATACAGATACATAAAAAAGTGAAATAGATGTTTTCATCCACACTATGAGTTAAATCAATGTGAGCAAAAAGCCTTTTTGCAGTTTGGATTGAATTTATGATGGATCTCACCGGTGGTCTCTGTGCTCTGGTTCAGCTCAAACTGAATGCCTCGGTAGAGCTCTCTGGAGATCAGACCGTAGGCTATAATCATCACCACTCCTGGGACGAAGAACAGAGTGAACAGCAGCAGCACATACCTGAAAAACAGCCAGAATGGGAAAGAGAGTCAGAACTACATCTGAGTTGGAATCAGGCCTCAAAAACAATCAAACACATCAGATTCTCTTGCTGCAGGCTTGCGAAACGTCCTTATATATGTGTCTATATATTTATCTCCTTTGGACTGTTTTTATTTACAATTCGGGGCATTTATGCTGATGCCATGTTTGCATATATCTACAGATTTTATATGCTGCTGAAAGTTTACTTATCTGCTGCTACTTAATACCTCCTCCTGTTACACCACTGTAACTCCTTACATTAGGCCGGAAACAGAAGTCTCGCTCAAAGGGTAAGTCTTACTCTGAAATCTTGCGTAAGGTGAGTTGTTGAGACGGCAGTGGAAATGTCACTCAGTAAGTCAGCCTAGGGTTACGTTGCAGCCTTTACAGCCTGTCTTGTGGCGGCTGGCTGGTGGGCGATCTACTGGATCAATTCCAAAGACTTTTTGTACTCATTAGTCATTTAAAATATGTACAAAAATAAATGAATACCTGAATTACCCTTCAAAACTAGCTCTTATGTCCCCTATTTTATCAAGTGAACATTTGTATCTTCCCAACCTGAGGACACACAGTTCGCTGAGTTGAGGCGGGCAAGTTCGACCAGTAGGACCAGTTAGCTGCTGGAGCTCTGACACTAAGAGACAATATTTTCTTTGAGGTAGCAAGTATCCTGTTAACCCAGGGAAAGGTTTTCAACACAACCTTATCAAACTGTTCTGTTGACATATTGACAGTTAACAATAACACACTGAATATTGACACACACGGTAACAATTGGACCTCATGGATACAATGACAGTGCACGCTTCTATGTAGGAACACAACAGAAAGAAATATATTAATTTTGCCAAATACACATAGTTATATAGTAATATGCTGTAATGTGACAATCTGCTGCTCCAGGCTGTGTACTCGGCTGTTTTCTGAGCATAAATGTTAAATTTTTTTCTCACACGGAAAAAACAACGATCATGGCTCTCTCGGGGTGCCTGGATGGATAACACATCAAAGAAAAAAAGTAGTAGAAAAAGTAGTAGAGTAGAGTAAAGGGCAAGAAAACTGAACAAAATGTTGACAGAGGGGAATTTTCGAGCAGCGCACAGAATTCAAAGGGCTCAGAGCTGCTAGTCAGTTTCTCACCATCTGTATCGGACTGCAGACACAAACCTTCAACGCTGCAGCTTTGTTTTAACATGCAGTAAAGTGCTATGAATGAGCTGCATAAGAAACCTCCTGGGATTATAACAGTCTCACTAGACTCACTATCAGCGAATAAAATGAACCTTTTTACATGGAATGAAGGCAGAGTGATAGAGAGAGGAGAAGGGAAAAGTAGAAAGAGTAAGCCATGAATGAATAAGATAAAGAAACTGTACAGATGTTACTTTGATCGTAATAAATCTTTACCATCTGCAGCCACGTCCCCCTTTTGATTCATCGTAATCAGAGCACGCTCCTCTCAACCACCGATGGCCGCGGCGCACATCAGTCAGCACATGAAAGCGGCAGCAGAGAGGAAGAGGCCAGGTTTCATTCATTCTCTGATATTCTAATGTCTTCCTGGACAACCCTCTGAACTCTGCACAGCCCCTCTCTTTCACTTCTCTTTACATATATAAAAAAAAGAAGGCTTCAGTCACAGCCTCTCATCAGCTGGCTGTTTGATACTGCGGGAAATCTGTTAGACAAAAGCTGTCAGGAAGTGAACACGTAGGAGTGCGGGAACACACTGCTGGTGGTTATCTGTGCTTGTTTTGCCTCAAGGGGGAAACCCAGATGGATGGAGCTGAGGCGGAGGACCACATGGAAAAAAACCTGATGAATATTCACATGTAGCTCCCTCTTTGGACTGTTCCCACTTCACCTGAATGCATGTTGCAATGTTTTTAGGCAATTTTGTAGCGATGAAATTGTGAGAGAACTTTAAAATTGAAATGGTTCTATTGTATTTAGTGTGCACTAAATACAATAAGGTATATCTAGTGAGCAATAAACTTAACGAGCAGCATCAAGGGTCATCGGCTGCTGGACTGATAATATACGGTCCAGCCCCTTGCTGGGGGTTGCCTGAGAGTATAACGACAGGGACTACTCCTCTCATATATTCACATCAAAATAATTTTGTCTGTGGTTGAAGAAATTCATATCATAATAGCACAATAAATTCTTGCAAACAATCAAAAGAAAGCTGTGAACCAGGCAACAAATACTTAATGCTGATCTGATGTCAAATATATACTTAAATGTAGAAAAAGTGTAGGTTACGTGTGCACTGTAAGCTTTCTAATCTAAATAGAATTAAATATTTATCAGAAAACGTGGTTGAGACAATCATAGACCAAAATTAGTCCACTAATATCTGCACTTTAGTCCAGAATGACATGGGATGTTGAGCAGTGCACTGATCAGAAACCTCAGACTCATACAGGGTCTGGTCATATTAAAATTATTTTGTATCTAGTGAGTTAATTTGCCTCAGTGAATGAGATTATTCATCCTCCAGTCTGCGTAAAACTGTCCATGAAGACACCATGCATAAGAATAATTACGCATAACAATCTAAAATCATTAAATTTGACTTTGACTTGACAAAACTGGTTCATTAACCACTTTATGGCTCTTACGTCTCTGCTCATCATCTCAGACTGCGATTTCAGTCTAAAAATGGATGCATCGGTAACTCTATGCTCTGCTTCATTATGTGCAAAAAAAAAAAAAAGGTGCCAAAATCGAGATGTCGATGAGAAAGGTGTTATCTCCTTCCAATCTGGGTTTTAACCCCTAACCGCTGCGTAATTTAAATGACAGCCATGATGGTTGAAGGAGAAAATGTGAATTAAAACTTGAAAGGACCTCGTACTCTGTGACACATCTGGACTTTTGACATCTGAGCCCTGACTTTCTTCCTCCTCATCCTCCTCCTCCTCCTCCTCCTCCTCCTCACCGAGCAGACTAATTAACTGGTCTCCCACTGCCTCTTCTTTTCCAGCGAAGCCTTACAGTTTGATAGGCAGTCGGAGAAAAAGAGAATTCTTCAGAGTGTTCGACCACAAAAGGCTGTCAAGTAGAGCGATGTACAAGGTTTTGCCATATTCCGCTTCTTCTTTGTTTTAATTGTGCCATCCCGCAGGACCAGAAAGTTGTTTATTATGGACAGATCTATGAAAATCCCTGAGCGGTGTATCCCAAGATGCTCAAACATATCTTATCCTTAACTGCTTATGCATCCACTTGGGGAGCTTTTTAACAACAAAGCAGCATTTTTTGGTCCTCAGAGGCGTGTACATGAATGGATGACTTTCCTAACACTGAGCAACCCAGACTGCAGCCCGCAATCGTTTCTCTCCTGGTGTTTTTGCAAAAACTTTACTCTTCCATCCTTTACAGCATACAGTCAGGACCAGAGAAAACAATCAAAATGGTACCATGAAGCATCATGCAGTATCTTTGTAATGATGAAGTCTGTCCCAGCTCCTCTGATTTTTTTGGTTCGACCCCTGCTATGCTAGAAAACGGATCCATTTCAAACACTCTCTAATTATGCCTTAACAGGAACTGCCTGATCACCTTTCTCATCATAAAATAAAAGTCTCCCACTTAATGATTTCATTCATTTTCCAGACACCACCTCTGGAACCACCTTCACAGTTGCAGCCCAGGGGTTCAAGCCTGAAAGGGCAAGAATTTATGAGCCCTCGCTCCATCATTATCTATACTCTTTATCCCTCGCATATTTCTTGCTGGTTAGGTAGAGAGAGAAAGGCTCAGTCACACCAACAATTCAAATTTCACAATCGATTTTTTACTTGAATGGAATCACCATAATAAAGGCATTTGCCTGTGGGGGCGAAGTAAATCTACACAAATCTTTTGTGTCTTGACAGCGCTGACCTTTGAGTTCAAAATGGCAGAAGCTGTTGTAGCTTATTAGCCGTGTTACACAATCCACTTATATTTAACCTCCTCTGTTAGAAAGAAAGCGACTCAAGGAGGAATGGTTTGCAGATATTTACGAGACAGGAGTTAATGGTACTAATATGTCTTTTAAATAGCTTAGTAACTTATTGTCCCATGAGCAACTTAGCTAACAAACAAGCTAGGGAGACTCAAGACTAGAAGGTATTGAGTATATATATTATATAGTATTGAGGTTTTGTAAAATATAAATGAAAAGGCGTCAGTACTCAATGTATAATGTATTTTTTCAGTAACTGGTCATCCCCATGTCACCAATTCTTTGTGCAACTTTCTAGTGTGACCGGGCCTTAACTCTGATTCTCCTTTAACTGCTTTATACTGAGTGTTGGCTTGTGACACAAACTATAAGTGATATAAATATATATATATACACACACACTATAATATGACAGATAACTACATCATTACACAGAATACTGGAACGCTGAGATCCATTTTACAGATACACATGTAAGCTAAGCCATTAGCATTGAATGCATTAAGTTGCACATAAGTTACAAAAATTATACAAAGTGAAAAACATGAATTAACTAGAATAATTACAAACACACAGAGTAATAGAAAGCTGTTTCAATGTACTGCTCGGAGAACCTCAGAGGCACTGAGGATTTCTGCAGGAAATTTGAGCTATATTACCAAAATGACCAAATCCGCATTCAATCTATTCTCCAACTGTGAGCAATCAGTAGAAAGTGTGCTGCTCAAAAATGAAGTTAGTTTCTGCTTGTCATGGTAATGCATATGTAGATTACACAATTACACTGAATGTAAATCAGAACACATTTGTAACCGAGGCTGAGCAGATTGTATTCAATTCACTAATTGACTCCAGCTATTCATCTTGTCCTCACTCATCCCTGTCGAGGTTATGGAGGCACGTCCACAAAATTATTGCCATGCATGTGAAATCTTTAAAAAGGTTTTCACAGACTTTGTGCAGAGTTTGTCCATTCAGACAGGCAGCTGTCATTACAGCAAGCCTCATCACCCATCAAGTCATGCATGCGAGACAGATGTTTTTTCCGTCTAACATTAAAATCAGATTACAGAAATGATTGATGAACTAATAAATGACTGATGGTTTTCCTTTATCCAGGCTTTTTTTCACTTTTTACTTGCTTATTATAGGATATTGTGTTACTCAGTTTGAATTAAGAATAACTACATATACGTAGCAATCTCATAATAACAATATATTAGTATGGATGTGCTTCCCTGACAAGAAGTAGTCCCATCAGTACTTACCAGGTCTGTTCAACTTGCTGGCTGGGCCAGTCCAGGCGACACATATGGCCCACAGTACCGTTTGTCTTGGAAAAAGACCTGAGGACACTGAACACCGGGTAGGGCACCATGATTAGCAGCGACACCACCCATGTGGCAGCGATGACGCGATAGGCATGGGATCGGGTCTGCCATGAGCGGGACTTCAACGGGTTACAGATGGCGCTATATCTCTCGATGGCAATGGCCACGAGGCTGAAGGTGGAGATGCTGACGGAGATCCCTGCAGAAAGAAAAAAAAAACGAGAAAACACTTAGAAACTGGTCTGTTACCAAATTTCAGTCCAGTATTGACTCCTTTTAGCTGTTGTAGTAGTGTACAGTGAGTTTATCAGAGCTTTTTTTGAGGCTGATAACGCTGTAAGAGCAGTGAAAGTGAACCAGTGGGCTGGAAAACCAAAATAATGAGCTGAAAGACGCCAAAAAAGTTCTTTAGATCTGAGGGGAGCTGCTGAGCCAGGCAGTTTTGTCACTCATCTTTCACATACAAGTTGTCAGTTTATGACACAAACATGACTGACATGACATGTCTGCTTCAGAGTAAAAACAAAATGCAGAATATAATCTACCTCCTCTCAATAATGTGAGCATCTCTGCGATAATCCAGGACACTAGGTCTCTATAAGGTTTAACACAAGTCAAATTCTTTCAGAGACAATCCAAGGCCAAGTTGTATTTGCATTTATGAATATGCATAATCTGCAGAGGGGTTCAGTCAATGCATATAGTTCTGAAGGTGAGCTGGGGTGAGACAAATAGCATTAATAAACCCATACCTAGCAGCCACAAAGGAGCCCCCAAGGAATAAATTCATCACACTGATCCTCTGTTGCTACGAGAAGCTACAACCTCAATCCACCGTTTCGCTGTCACATATTAATCCCCATTCATTGTTCCTTTAGGACGGAAGAACATATCCTGTCTAAACCATAGCTTTGCATTATCATTCAAGGGAGGAAGTCATTATGTATACTCCTATGAACATGGTGCAATTCAATCTACAGGAACCTTGTTAAGTATTTGAGTGGCGGACTGCTCTATGGCTCGGCTGAGAGCAGACGTTCCTCTGTGGGATCAGGCTTTGGCAACGGTCTCTCCTGCAAACCAATGATAAAATCTTTGTTACTTGTTTCTTTGTTCCTTTGTGATAAGCTTTGTTATCTGAAGTTAAAAGATAAAGGATTAAGTGTCTATTATCAAGTGCAAAACCTAAAAAATATATGTGGATTGCAACCTGGAGAAGAAAGACAACTGTGTGGATATTCAGAGTGGGATTTGATGTGGAGTCTGATAGAAGCAAGAGAACAGCTTTATCTTATCCTGCGCTTACAGAACAAAGGAGCTGAGTTGTAGGGATACTCCGGAACAAAGAGAACATAATTGTCAGAAAAAGACGTCTGAATGCCTTTTATGCTCTGTGAGTAGTCGGAGAGACTCCGCTGTGCATTATTAAAAGCATTTCAGCTGCTATGGTGACATTAAAACCAGACAGGATACTACATCAAACCAAAGATAGTTACATATTGTAACTCTAATTCTATGTTCACTGACACAGCCGTCAACCTGGGCTTGGAGGCTTAGCACAGGGGTTTTCAATACTGCATGAGACAAAAGAGACGGGTACATGGCATGTTCTAAAAACAACAGGAAGTTAGCTGTTGCAGTTTGTCCCACTTTTCGATCTCTGTGCCTCTCTGTTTACCAAATTTCAATAAAAAAACGCACTCTTTCTCCAAGTTATGATGCATGTATTTTTAGATTCAGTGGGACTTAACAATTTCCGGTTATATCATTATCTCCAGTGACAGTTATCATCCAGAATTAATGTCCATATATCCAAAAATAATAGCGTAAAATACACTTCTTATAAATCCAGAACTTGCCTGAGACACTGCAAACAGGAACTGCTAATAGCTAATTCAGCATACTTTTGCAAAAAATATAGACAGAAAACAGAGCTTTAGTTGAGCCACGGCATAACTCACCGAATCCCCAGCAACATTATAGGGATTGATTGATACACTTAGACCATTGTTATCGACGAAATAGAAGTAAAACAAAGAGTAATATTAATATAAGGTTTTTTGAACTGTATACAGTATACCCACAGTGTTTAACTGGGCTCTAAAATTATGTATTTATGTGTTCACTCCACCTGTCATCACAGAACGAGTGTTACAATTTCTGTTTTTGTCATAGAGCCCTCGTGTCTGTAGGCTCAGTCTCGTCCTGATGGACTGCTGACCACCGCACACAACCGGTCAGCTAGAAGAACCACCTCCAGCTCTGGCTGAGCAGAAGGCGGTGGGTGGCACAGTCAACGCACACACCGGTACTGTAAGAGTCTCGCACAATAAGTCTCTCACACCCACACATCTCTTTCAAGTGCTAACACAGACACAGAGAAAGACCGAATCACACACACACGGGGGGTTTTCTTTTGTTGATGCTTGAAGGCGGTCATACCCAGCCACAGGGCCAGCTTACAATGATTGTGGAAATGCAGTACACAGACAGGTAGGGATTTCGGTCTATTTCTCTCTTCTATCCAGCATAGCAGGGAGGAGGAGGATGATCAAAAAGAACAATAAAAGTAGGGAGTAGAAGAAGAAAAGGAAGAAGCATTGTTTATATAGCAGCTCTGTAAAGTGCTTTACTGACAAACACACACAGTAGGATTACAAGATAAAGGGAATTATAAAGAAAGCGGTAAAAACAACTGTAGGTAAAATGCAGATAAATATTTTAAAAGAAACACTATTCAAGGCCTTTGCATGGAATTAAATTTTAATGGAATAGTTTGACACTTTTGGGAAATAGGCTTAATTGCTTACTTGCAGACTTAGACAGTAAGATCTATAGTACTCTCATGTGCAGTAAATATGAAGCTACAGCCACAAGGTGGTTATCTTAGCTTAGCAGAGAGACTGGTAGCAGGGGAAAACGTGCTCACCAACGCCTCTAAAGCTAAATAGTATAAGACACTGACACATATAGAAACTGCAGCAAAAAAATATAATAAACATATTTAAAAGTGAAAGTATTTAGTATAAAGTTATTTTAAACACGACAATGATTTTGCGAGGTTGAACTCAAGTAAGGTGCTGTTATCATTACAAGGAGGCGTGTTTTAGAAACAGGAATGAAGAAACAGCATAGTCATCTTCGCCACCAACCAGCATAAAAACTGCATGAGGAGTCAGGCTATATTGCCTTCTTATGGAGCCAACCACCATAAGGTAGAATTAGCTCATTATATTTGGCTGAACACGTGTTTATGGGCAAGTTCTCAGTGCACAGACACATGAGAATGAGTGGCTCAGCCTACAGAGCCCCATTAAAGGGTGAAGCCTGTGTGAAATAGAGCCACAGGTTTTCAAGTGAGTGATGTTTTCAAACCCTACACTTATGAAGACTGATAGCTGGGAGGTTGTGCACATTCATACTGAGAGGAAGTGCACTTCCAGGTGATGTATGGCCCTGACGATGGGGATTTGAATTGATGACACAGTTACAGTAGGCAGACAGCACAAAGAAATTCAGAGCAGACCGATGTGCTTCTTTGTCTGAGGGATCAGATTCTTGTCCACGAGCACCAGGCCAAAATACATCAAACCTTTCAACATTTCAGTCCAGGTCCACTTGACCATCTGTTTTATTACTGCCAGGGAACACTGATCTGAGATTAGCAGCAGTACTGCTGGAACAATTTGTTGGCCCTCTAAAGAAGAGTTACGAGATCATGGTGTAGTAAAACACACTTTAAACAATACTGCAGCAACTGCATATAGATCATGCATTAACTGTATGTGCATTGAGCAACAGTGCATTAAGACACAGCTGCCTTGTTCTTCTAACTTGTGAAACTGTCACAAGCAGCAAAAAAGCCTCAAGACCAGTAAGAGCCTTAAACCTCACTTTACATATGACATTTAAATACAATCAGCTCCTCAATATAACTGCTGCTGGCGTTGCTACATTTTCTGTGCCTATATAAAACGGAGCGGACATTTCCTATTATATGCACGTCTCGTGTACCTCAGTTATTTCTGCATTGTTCATTCAAGTTGAGTTTTCAGACAGCCACGCTGATCAAAGCTTCACTCCCTCACACTCGGTGCAGTATTGAGAAGTTAATGTCTGATTGTGGACAAGGTGCTGCCAAGGTAATTACCAGTCAACTAACCAACTAAATGCTCACATTTTGCCCCAGCGCTGTATCTTCCATTCTCGGGATGAAACAGAAGCTCTAATCCTTTCTCTTGTTCATTAAACCCGAGGCGGGCGAACGCTCAAACACAGTAGGCTGCTTGATAACTGGCTTTTGAACGAATCTGTGAAGTTTGGAGTCGAGGGTCTCTCAGCGCTCCTCAACCTGGGAGAGGAGATTTACATTCCTAACCTAATTCTCCGAGTGTTTGGTTGAATGTAGCTCTAAAGAAGGCTAAAGGCGTAAAAACTTAACAAACTGAATTAATGTGTTATAGGTGCCAGATGTCCCTGCAGCCAGTTTTGTAAAAGTTTGCTAGAAGCCATGAAAATCCAAATTCTAATACATTATGCAAACTGCACCTCGGGGGGAGCTGTCAGACCGAGCTGGTAAGTTGGTTGGTAATTACATCATATGACCAGCAACAGAAACACAAACATGGATACATAAATGTGATTGAAGACGGCACACACAAACACACACACACCCAGAATATTACAACATCGATCTCGTAACTGCCACCCAAACCGAACAGAGCTATGATTCACATGATTATTGAGCTAGAGGCAGATGGATAGATCTATGGATGGACTGGCGAATAGAAGGATGGATGGTGTATTACATGTCTAATGACCGTGTGCTAACAGATGCGTTTGCAGAGAAGGTTTGCCGCACAATCAATGGGCTAGGATAGTTGCAATGAGCCTGCGTATTGATTGGTTCTGGCTGATAAACGGCCTGGCTCATGGGAGGCTCAGATCAGACGCTCGGAGACGGTTTGATTGATGCTGGTGGGTGATGGGTTTTTACATGCAGAAGCTGATATTTGTCAGTGAGCATTTATATGATATTTTGCTCCAAATCATACAGTTTCATGTCAAAACATACAGCGAGTCTGTGGTCCCTCCGCAGCGCCACATTTGTTATTGTTAGGGCTAAAATCCTATGACTCGAGACCTAACCCAGGAGCTGTACTCGTCCAGATCCACTTCAATCAGGTCCTGTTCTATTATCCCAGTGTGTTTAATATTATTATATTAATCTGGACGTATTCTACCAACTACCACGAGGCATCATAGGACGGAAGGCTACTAATTTTAGACACAAAGTTACTAGTTGACAACTCAAGTTTGGGTCCAATATTTTTCTTCATGGGTCTGGGTCCCAGCTTTCAAATAATAGACAAGTCCTGCTCTGTTCTGGGTAGTGCATTTCTGGGTCTTGGGCATTTATTTTTGGACCAGTGAAGACCACTAGTTTGGGCTTAATCACTTATTGGTGGAGCTATGGTCCAGGCATTTGCTGACTACAAAGTACTGAACACTAACACACACAGACACTCACACACACACACACAGGTTCTTAACGTTAAAAATAATTACATTCAGCCCTCTGATAGGCTGGTAGATGGGTAAGTGCAGACAGAAGGCAGGCAGATGCTGACAAAGAAACAGTCAACCTTTGACAGAAAAATTATAGGCAGAATAACAGAGAAATTACACATCTTGTCAAACAAGATACAGACAGAGGAAACGCCTAAATAAGTTGCATCATTAGCGAGCCTATTCTAGAGCCCAGCTCGTACATACATCACAGCCCCGGATGAAGCTCCTGCCTGTCACCTTCGCCTGCACCCTTTCTTTGTCTCCGGTTCATCTGGACATGGTTGCTTGATAAAATCAACACGCTCAACCCCGGTACAGTATACAGACAGAGGCTGAATCTTCAAAGTCATTTGATCAGGAAACAATGCACTTGTATCATGCTGCCAGCGTACCAAAGGAAGCTAAATAATTTCAGTTAAAACTTAAAGGATCAGACTGCAGATTGCAACCAAGTGAATACCAACGAATTACCAACACACATACCTATCAATATTATATTCCATTTCTGCCAATAGATCCTAAATGTTACACACTTTATTTACATGAAACTAGCTGACGGTTAGCGAGCTCTAAGAACTTTTTTTCCACCTTCAGTAACTCTCAATGATAAATTTCACTGTGCCACTTTCTTGTGTAAATTCCCGGTGGGCCCCCATCCTGGTGCTGCAGATCTGATACACCTCTTTCATCATCATTTGAGATCATTTTAATTCTAACCTAGACTAATGAATTAATCATTGTTGTGCAGAGAAAATAAAATGTTGTTGCAGTTTTTAGGTAGCTGAGTCAAGAAGTAGCATCTATCACATTTGCAGCAGAGGATTTACTAGTCATTATTCACAGCTTAATGTGTGCTTAAGTGATTCATCATTCATTATCAGTTATCAGTTACAACACTTACTTTGACTGAAATTAGTATGAGTATAAGACAAAGCAACAACAAAAAGTTTGCATTTAAAGTTTGAGGCAGCAGGCCCTCTTGCCCTTCTCCTCCTTATCACAGCTCAGGGAACCCAGTAATTGAAAAGGAGATTCAGCGAGCCTGGTCTCACAGATGGTGCATCACATTTCTGAGACAATAATGGGAATGTGGACCTCGCCATTCAATAGCTCTTCTCAACCATTCAAAGCTCAAAGTGAAGCAAAGAGACAGAAGTAGTGCAGCAGATCTCAGTTTCTTCGCCGTCCCCTAGTGCTTCAGTCTGACTCAGGCCTCACGTGGCACCTCGACTCTGGCCTGACGGGAGCCAGCTCATCGCTAAGTCACACTCTTGAAGATGTGTGACTGTTCGAGCACTTTCAGAAGGATGGTTACCTTCTGACAGGCAAAATGAAGCCCAGAGAAAAGTCTCTCTAAAAGACAGGCTCTTGTTAGATATTGAGCAATTTTCAGGCAGGATTCTTAAGCTGGGGCACATCTTCTGATCGGCTGCCAGCTGCAAAAAAAAGGCCAGATTTCTGTCTTAGAGCAAGAAAAACACCTATCAACTCAGTCACGACCGGCAAAAAAATCATCTGAAAAATTTTATTCCTCCGCTCTATTTAGCGTGACTACAGCTTGTTGTGAACATTTCATTTAAACATTAAATGTTAAGTGAGGTTTTTGGTGTTTTCTCCTAAATGCAACACTTTTGATTTTGTAATGCAAATCCTAAATGCAACACTTTTGATTTTGTTCCCTCCCACAAAGCCAGGCTGCCCCCCCCCCCCATTTCCAGTCTTTATGCTAAACTAAGCTGACTATAGCTTCATATTTACCGTACACACTTGAAAGTGGTCAATCTTCTCATCCAACTCTCCACAGTTTGATCTAATCTCCACCACTATGAACGCTAATAGTGGTCAACGTTTGTAGGACACCGAAGTAAGGCAGTCTAGGATTTGTTTGTAAAATGGTAAAAAATAATGTTTACAAAATTGCAGGCACATAGTGGTCACAAGCAGCAGATGTCTACCTACACAACATATTCTCGCTTCCAGGGTAGACAGGAAGTTAAAGTACAACATATTGCAGCAGAGCTTTTCCCTTGTTGCTATGAAACGTGAGGTGGACACGAAGACTATTTTGATTTGAATTCAAATAAATGTGTGATGCTATAGTTTGTCTTTAAATGTGGACTAAACCAGATCTATAGCAAGAATGAGCCTTGTGACTGCTGAGATAACTGACTCGATAATAGTGCAATAAGTTAGGATTTTTACTGCTCCCAAAGAAAAATGGGTTTATTGATCAGTACCCAGCACTCAGTGATTACTTTGCCAGCTGGACAGATTTATGGCTTCCTAAATTCACTGCTCAGTTCTGAACCAAAAACTCTCCACACCAGTCATTCGCTGGTTGAACTTAATTTCATTTTTTTAAAATACTTAAAACTAAAGCTCAGATCTGAAATGAAAGAATTCATCCTCACCCATAAAGTAGGAGACGGTTTTGCACATGGCACCTCCGAAGATGAAGTCCTCCAGGATGTTGGGGATGAGCGTGAAGGGCATGCAGAAGATGGCCATCATGAGGTCGCTGACCGCCAGCGACAGCAGGAAGGAGTTGGTGACGGTCCGCATGCGCTTGTTCAGCATCAGGACCACGATAATCAGCAGGTTACCGAAGACGCTGAGCAGGAAGATGAGCGAGTAGAGCAGGATGCGCAGCGAGTCCATCTCTGACAGAGAAAGAGAGGGGACATCATTTATAAAACCTGTTTTTGCAGCTGATCAATTAAAGGAAGGAAACACATTTGCACAAGTGAATTATCAAGTACACATCCTTGGATTACTGGGACACACTGAATGAATGTTGTCTGTCCTCTAAAACAGAAAATATTAACTTCATCAAACCCTCTCAGTGTGCTCCTGTGGGTACTTTTTCTTGTAATCGTGAGACAACCACATGTTTAATGTCACTGGGAACAGCAATAAACAAAGAATAAGAAGTGGAAGAACAAATAGAAGAGGCAGAAGAGGAAGACTGATGCATTAAATGAACTGGCTGGTTCACAAAAGACTTCCACCAGACTAATAAAAACCAAAACTAGTTAAAAAAAATGTAAGTTTTCTTCATCTGTATACAGTGCTTTTCTTGTAATCATTCCAGCAACCCACGCATTAAATGACATAAGAAGACGCAGAATAAAAAAAGTGCAAGAAAACAAAATAACAGCGATACACGAAGAAAATCAACCAGGTTGTTCACCTGGGAAATAAGACTCTGGGCACATAAACAACACCAAAGTCTATTACAAGACAGAATAACTTCACATAATCAACATTTTAAATTGTGCTAGTGTCAATATTTTCCTGCTCGCCCCGTGAGCCAAACGATAATTGAAATAATAATACTGACAGGAAAAGATGAAGACAAACAACATCATCAGTGCTGAACAGACTGTGCCAGGTGGTAACTTGGGAATAAAACTGGAAAAACAAGATCAAAATTAAACAGTTATTGTTTGCATCATTATCATCTTTCTTGGTACTCTGTGTGTTTTCTTTCTGGTTTATGTCTATAGCCCATTAAATGACTGAAATACAATTGATAGAAACAGGGGCGGGACCAGGGGTGGGACCAGGGGTGGTACAAGCCCCCCTGGAATCTCATTAGCCACCCTTGGTGCCCCCCTGCCAGGAGTCAATAGGTGATAGTTAGTTGGCTTATTAGTATCATGGATGGATCACAGGACCGAAGACACTGTATGAGGTGACAGTAACATTATTTTTATTACAAAATGACTACAAAGATGCAAAATGACGACAATTAGACATTATTTTGATTTAGAATATTTAAAGTTTAAATTTGGCATTCAGTTATTGCACAGAATGAACAATGTAACTATTGATTATATTATATTATTATATAACTTTATAATGTACAGTTTATTATTGCTGAGAACCAGGGCCTCCAATTATTAATTTTACAAATGAGGCCCCTGGCCCCTCCATGAAACAGTTTCTAAATCCGCCCCTGCATAGAAATAGTATAACATTGTCTATGCTCGACAATCACCTGACAGATAAAACTAAGAATGAAGCAGTCTTCTAAAATAAGTGTTTCATATGTTTTCCTTCTTTCAGCGCTGCCATACAGCTGAGCATCAGCGAGAGCAGGACAGCCCAGCCGGAGGGGTTTTAGGATGCTCTCTTCACTCACACCGGCCTGTCAGAGCGAGTCAGTTTGACAATGAGAGTATCTAACAGGACAAGGTCGGGGCAGGCCATGTGCTGCGCTGACTGAGTCCTCTGATTAAAGACAGCTACATGGGACAAGTAAAGGTCTACAGCAGAGCCTGCAGACAGCGCACCACACATCACCTTAAAGGCAAACACACACCCCTCATTAGGAGTGCAACCAGGACACAAACAGCACTGTATGTTTATGTTAGCACTATATATTTTATATAAACTGTAGTTTTATTATCATTTTGTCATCTTGACATAAGAAATGTTGCTGTCACAAAACATATCTAATTATCATCCTTAATGTTAAACAGGAAGGCTGCATTACAAACTGAGAAAACAAGATTTAATGTGTTAAATTAATGAGCTATAGAGGTGCTGCCAGACAGAGAGAGCCAGGATAGCTGTTTCCCTCTGTTTTCAGTCTTTATGCAAAGCCCAGCTAACTGGCTGCTGGCTCCAGCTACATAGTTGAGTGTTCTCAATCTTCTCATCTAATTCTCTCCGAGGAAGCCAAAATGTTCCCATAATGTAATGTATTCCTACTAGATTTGAAAAGGTCAGGCTCTTCCACAACTTATATTACACAGAAAAGCTCAACAACAGGTCTACAAGGACTGTAACCCTTAGAGAACCAGCTTCTTCAGCCAATTATACTTTTCTTTAAAAGGTCCAGTGTGTAACACTGAGGCGGATCTTCTGGCAAGAAATGGAATAGGTATGTTTTTATTAGTGTATAATCACCTTAAAATAAGAATTGTTGTGTTTTTGTTCCCTTAGAATGAGCTGTTTTTATCTACAGAGGGAGCGGATCCTCTTCTATGAAGGCCGCCATGTTAAACCACTATGTTTCTACAGTAGCCCAGAATGGACAAACCAAACACTGGCTGTAGGGCCTTTTGCATGTTTTTTTGCATGTTTTGTGGCCACCGTCTACAGGTTTGATTGTGGCGAGGGGTTTTCAGTTGGTGCCAATGAATCCTACACACTGGTCCTTTAATCAAATACATTACCAGCTCAAATAAGAAACCACTTACCACCCCTTCACAAAAAGGGAGACTACATAACTTTGTAAAGAAGAAATAAAACAGCACACGCACATGCTAAAGCCTTACGTGGTCTGATTTGATTGTTTATTTGAGGGCTCCTTCTCTCCAGTAACAGTCCCATGCTGCAGCAAACATTATATACTATTCTACTTTTAAAGAAATTAACAGCAGCTTGTTTGAAATAAATAGAAATATGTTGAGGAAATCTCTGAAGCCGTAGCCAACATCACTTATCGGACAATCTTCAGAGGAACTCGGCAGCAAAGATAAAAGTAGATGAGGTCTGGATTTGAACCCAGGATACTGCAGGATGCATGTTAATCACCTCTGTCACCTGAGAGACCCAGTTGCCCTCAACTGCAAATATAAATTATTCTTTTGATAAGAAGATCCTCTGATGGCTTTGAGAGCAGTTTCATCAGCTAAGGGGCTGACACCGCGGCCAAGTTAATATAAGCAGCATCCACCTTGTTTCAGTCGCTGGAAGATGAATAAGCAGCGCAGGTGACAAGTTTGACAAGAGTTTTTGATTTACACAGCGGCATTACAGGATGTGAGAGAGGCATAATCGGCTCTAACTTTTGAGACTTCCTACACAAACAACAAGCACCGAGTCCCCACTGGCTCAGCAGCTTCTATCATGTTAGATTCTGTGCGATCAAGCCGAGTGAAAATGGAATTATCTATTCACTGAGCACCAGTTGTACGTTGGCTCCCCTGAGCCTAACGACAGCAGGACGATTCACTTTGGTTCCTTTGACTCTCTCAAGCGTTACTGCTGCGTTCAAATCCACAGGCAGCCATAAATACAGCACAGATAAAAGGCGTTCACCTTGTGCGCGGAGGTCGTTGACGTGGAACATTTTACGCATGACCAAGGGATGGGAGAACAAGGAAGCTTATGTTAGGGTTGTGTCTATTTATTTAACCTCCATTCCTATTGTGTATCCTACTGGCTGCTGCTATTCAAACTGTAATTATGTTTTCCCGCAAGGATCATTAAAGTTTCATCACTTCTATATCTTCAGAAGGAGGATTAGCACGACTTCATAGGGACAGCAAGTCGTTTGAAAGCTTTGTCATTTATCGCGGGACGTGGAGGAAGAGGGCTTGTCATGGATTGACTGATGGAGTCGGATCTCATTATGATACATTAATAAATTGGTATAAAAAAGATGAATAATGAGCAGTAATAATCTTAGAGGTGATTTCACTGAGATGCAAAAAAGTTCTGAACTATCCTTTTAATCACAACTTTGCCACAAGGCTGTATTTCATACTCCTGTGAGATGATGAAATGTTAGAAATGACTGTCAGCTCTGTCCAAATCTGATGTTACTACACTAATTACAAGTGAGCAGAAAGCCCTTTGGAATTGAACGTGTAAAGCAGTCGACATGAGTCAGGAAATTATTTCTGAACTTACGAGAATAAGCAATTAATTCCCTTTTCTCAAGTACCGCTCAAGTAAGCAGTATCGTCTCTGCAACATCTAAACCAGGGCTGCAACTTTTTCATCGTTGATTAATCTGTTTATAATTGTTGTAGTTAATTGATTGAACGCTTAGTAACTGTAACTGTCATGGCTCAGGAAACGCAGGATTGGATCTAAATGCGAGACAGCAGCAGGATGACGTTAGTGACTTAATACTGATGCAGCATACAGGCCAGTTTACCTGCCAGGTAAACAGATACAAGTGCAGCAAAAACCAAGCAAAGAACCAACAAAGCAACAAGGATGAACTGACAACCAGGACAAATGAACGCACACTAAGTACACTGAGGGAGAGGATAAATAAACAAAGGTGAAATCGGGGCGGGGCAGAAAATCAAAACTGGAGGGAAAACAGTCAAAGACAGGAAGTGAAGTGAAGTATTATAAAATAAAACAGGAAATACTAAAACAAAACACTGACAGTGACTCGGAATAGTAAAGGAATTCCCATCGCAAACTTAAGGTGCTCAAGGTAACGTCTTCAAGTAGCTTGTGTTGTCCAACCAGCGGTCATTAAACATGACAACATGCCAGAACAGGCAGTATGAAGATCACTGCCATCCAGCAAACATGGATGTAAACAATGCAGGTTCAAAAATATTTAAAAAAATGTCTTTGCAAGTGAAATACACAGGTTTGATTGCCGTTAAGGACACAAACAGAGCATGTTGGTGCTAACCAGTCAATAAAACATAACATTGTTTGTTTACAAGAAAACACCACAGTGTAGCTTTCTCCTATATATACAAATATAGGGTTAACCCTAACATATATATATAGAGAGAAATTGGTCCAATATAATTACATTTCCAAATACTATTCTACTTGCCATTGTTTCTTTTACTAGGAAAACTTCTTAAAATTACATTTTCCTTCTGATTAGAAACAACTTTCAGTCACTAAGTCAGAGTCAAGAAAGAGAAAAACAAACTTGAAGGACAATATC